GGGGTGGCGGGGGGGGGGGGGGGGGGGGGGGGGGGGGGGGGGGGGGGGGGGGGACCTCACAGCATAAAGACTGCAGTGAATCGGAGAGGTCAGAGTTCTGCCTGTTGTGTTGCGGAACAGAATCACTCCTCCGGCGCGGATTCAGACCGACGAGGCAGCCGCTTTCCAGATGTGTCTGCACACACACGCGTGTTTTATTATTTATTTGAAAGTTGTTGTTGTTGTTGGTCAGCCTGCTTCTGATTTTGCTGTATTGACAGTTCTTTATTGCCCCCAAACTTCACTTCTTTTCGACGGTGGTTTTGAAAATGGGCATGCGCCAGGGGCGGCATCAGAGAGGGGCACCCTCCAAGCACACATGATGCAAGAAATTATTTCTAATTATTTATTTCATGAAAGGGGGTAATGCATATGAATCAACATGAATGCGTCACGTAAATACACCAGAGTTAGCCTGTAGCACATTGATGGAATGGATTACCAAAAAAAATACAACTAACCTGTACAACGTAAATGACCTGTGATTTTTCAACACACGGATAAAAGTAGTGTGATTTACAGTAAACAGTTATCATAAAAATAAAATCTGAGCTGATACACACTTGCATAAAAGCACATCATAAACTCAGGTAAGCTTTTGAAGAAAATCTTAAGATTGAGAAATATAACAAGTAGTAATGAACCCTAAAAATGATAAAAGAAGAGCGTTTATCAGCTGATGAAAATCTGAGGGCGTAGTCAAAGCCCAGACATCGATCTCATTAAAATGTAAGTGGGGTAACAAAGATGGAGGAGGAAGGATTTAGCTATTAATAATAGGAAAACTCACTTTTGTTGAAATCTTTTGTCTAATGAGTAAAACATGGTTATTTTTTGTTGTTCATCTAAAATCACTTTCTTTTCCAGAAAAAAAAAAGATTATGGATGTAAATGTAAACCATTCTTGTAAAGGAGGTAAATATCTAATATCAAGTCCTAATCGGTTTACAAAACATACACATGACTCAAAGAAAACAACAGAGAGGATACACACAGGTCCACCTGTAAAAACGTACATTACAAAATAAACGTTTATTTAAAATGTAAAATAATAATAATGATAGCCTGATTACTCCTTTTCCTCAGAGTACATCGAAATTCACAGAATGTGTGACTTTCGTTTACTTTTTGGTACAGAACATTATGAAAATGATCAAATTAGGGTTGAGGTGCCATATTTTTAATTCTATAAAAGTGACTGTTGTGGTCAAAGAGTGGCGGTTTTATTCAAAGTGTAGCACACTGCCCCCTGGAGGTCTATCGTGTTATTCCTCCCAGCTGTTCAGCTGATACTCCAACAAACTTCAGAAGTTGCGGAGTTGCTATACAATTTCTGAAGAATTATATTATAATTTTTTTTTAAGTTTATAATTTGTATTTGATAAGTATTAATGGATTTATTGTCTTGTTTTCCTACACAGAGAACACTAAATGTAACTGCATTTAACTGTAACTGAGCTAACTGTGAATTACTTTTAATATTAGTAAGTAGTAATTCTGTCAACCGATTAAAAATGTAATCAGATTAATCGCCGTGATTAATCACGATTAGCCACTAAGCTTAGCTTTTGTAAGCTTGAA